AAAATATAAAAAAAATACTAATTTCAACAAAATATTAAACCCCCCCCCCCCCCCCCTCAAAAAAGTCACTTGTCGTCAGAATCATGGAAATCGAGATAAATACATAGGAGTAGAGCCTGTCATTTACCCTTATATAAAGGATAAAAATTTTTCTTTGGTACCTCCTTTTTTCCCAAAAATTTTAAAGATTTTTGACAAACCCTATTCGAAAAACCAGCGGTTTTTAAAAAAATTCAAATTTTTTTTCTTTTTTTCTCAAAGTTGTACTCGAACGACGCAGCCTTCCGAAAAGTCAATTATTATCCGATATAAAGTCAAATATTTTTTTTTTTGTTTGAAAGAGCATCAAAAACTGCAGCGCCTATGAGGACCCTTTTCTTGATAAAGCTTTCTTATTATGTATTATATTGAAAAGCTATTTTATAATATAAACATCATTTTTTTTTAGGGACTTTTCAGTGACTGAATTTGTGAAGCCTTTTTTTCTTATTAAAAATAAGAATAAAAAAAAGGCCTTCATAGGCACTGCATCCTGACATGCTCTTTCAAATGAAAAAACAATGAACCATATTGAATGAACATCTATAGAGAAATTTGGGGGCCGCGATAAGCTATTTTTCGACCTTTGTTTGGTTGGTATCTACCTTATACATCAGGATAGGAGGCTGAAAATTTTACCACAGACGTACTTTCATACCTCCAATATATCCTCAAAGTTTCATGCTATCTCGATGTGCCGGAGCTGAGATCGGTTTTTGAGGGGGGAGGGAGGGGGGCTTAAATGAATGAGAAAATATCTTATAACGTAAATCGGTTGCTATCGCTTTACCAAGGTAACAACAATTTAAAACTTATAATAAAAAAGTTTACAATCATTTTCATCTGAAGTTCAACATTTTTTACATGTTTCAGCTTGATTATTTATTAAATATATAAGAAAATCATTCAATATATTTACAATCTATAATAATAAATTCCTTGAATTTATTATTATATTTCTATCTATGAAAACGTACATCAAAGTGAAAATCTACACATCATTATATAAGAACAAACAAAAGAAAAAGAAAAAAAGCTCACTGCTATATTATCAATAGAAGCAAAAATGATAAAGTTTAAAACTTGTTATTTCTTTCTTCAAATTAATACTTTAATCTTCGTGATGATTATCTTCATTCCTATTATTTTCTCTTCTTTCAGATATATGTTGTTCATTTGAAAATGGTGCTCGATTTCTTAATGGTAAAAGACTAGAATCATTATTATCTTCATTTTCACCCATATTTCCAGTTAATAAACGAAATATACCACGTGGTAAATGTACAATATTACGAATACTACCTCGTCTATAATGTTCTTGTTGTTTTTCTTTATCTTGACTTGCTAATTTTAATACATTATTATCAATGTTATATAATTGAAAAACAAGGCAAGCAACGCATTTATCAAAACCAGTATCTGTGCAAGAACAATGCCACGATTGACCATCTGCAAATGAATGATGACATATATCACAATTATAACTGGAGGACGAATAAACCGAACCATTTTTACGTTTACGTTTTGTATTATCAGCTTCAATTAATTTATGTCCATGTGGACATTTGAATATTGACGAATTTCGAACAGTTGATGAACAATTTTTTAATTGTATATCAATCATTTTTGGATAAAGTACTGAATAAAGTGTTGAAACAAGATCATGATATTTGATAGATGCTTTTTTATAAGACTCAACAGATTTTTTATTTATAAATGTTGAACCAAGTAAAGAAACTTCATTACAATGATATCGAGCAAGATGACTAACAAGTTCTTGAGAATTATATTTTGTTAAATCATTCTATTTTGAAAAAAAAAATAGATATTTTACTTTTATGATTGAAAAACAAATAATGACATACCTTTTCTCGACAAGTATTATGTGGACAAGTCAATGTTACATTCGAACATCGTTCTAGATGTCTCTCATATTCATCGGGAGCTATATGTTCTGAGCAAACGCATTTAATAGTTAGTTGTTCGAGCATTTCTTTATGTTTAGGAGATGATTTGAATGCAAAATGTTTTTTACGACATAATGGACAACCATTTGTATATTGATTTAGATCAGCATCTTTTGCACAAAATACTCGGTTACAACATGATGTTATTTGTGGATCATCAGCAATACCTAATATTATATTCATATAATAACATAACAATAATACTATATCTTACACATGCAAATGGGACATGTAAGATCTTGAGTATTCATTGGTGTGTCTTTTTTTGTTTTTGTTCCGTCAAGATGCATCTTCAATCGTATCCAAATGAAAATTGTATTTCTTTTTTTATGATCTTATATTGATAAGAAATAGAAATACAATTATATCGAAAAGTTATATATGAAAGTATACTGATAAGAGTCATTTCTTACCGTTAAGAGAAATATCTTTTAATATATAGACATAAAAAGTACTGCGCCCTTTCCTTTGCCTCAATAAACTACGTGTATTAATAACAATCATTCAATCAGCTGTTTTACAAAAATATAATCCATTGGAGGAAATGTTTTACCATTCCTGAGCAATTTTATACATTACAGAGGTCGCAATTTACCATTGATCAAAAAAATTTGTCGGCATAAACAAAAGCAAAAAAAACTATTAAAATGACCAACCAGTTTAATGTTGATATCTGGTATATAATATTATATTATTTCAAATTCATTAGTGCATCATAAGAATATGTATCATCAAGATTTTGTTTTTTTAGTCATTTTCTATCTATTATGTTCGATTATTTACAATGGACTAGAAAGAAAAGGTGTTGCAAAATTGTTTGCTTATTATCAGCTGACAAGAAAATCTTGTCATATGACATATTACTTGGTCTCTTCTCAGTCATGAGTATATTATGCACAAAGAGAAATTAAATAGAAGGCATATTTTCGCTTTATCTATACAAGTTTGAATGAAATGTGCGTACCAATGATCTTTAACCTTTCGAAAATATCATTAAAACATTGCTTTTCTCGAATTATTTGTTTGAGTCAACTATTCATATATATTTTCGAGAAATATCAACACAAGTAGAACAAATATTTTGAACAATACAAGAAAAAAAAAATACTTCAGTGATTTTAATTCAATCGAACAAAAGAAATAGCCATTAAGATAAGAATTATACTAATATTTATCGAATTAACGCCATTATGTTTATCAACATCAATATGAATAGAACCAGATTTACTTCGAATAGTATCGATTTCATATTGTGACCCACCTGGAATAACTGTTGGTGATAAGTCTGAACCAATACTAATTAAATCCATAGAAGTTTTGATTGTTGTCTGAATACATTGAGGACCAGTCGAAACCGAAGGACATACATCAGTAATTGATAATGATGAATCAAGTGGAACCGATTGTTGAAGATTACATGTATTAACTAGTTCTTCATTTATTGAATCGTCTTCGAAAACTATTTCAGCAAAATCAGATGGAATAAATGTTTTTGAATCACTTGATGAATCAAGTTCAAGAAAAGCAACTGTTTGATCCAAAGCAGAAGGAAAATTTTGACAATATATTTTACCTTCAGCTCGACCTAAGAAAGAACATTATATTTTTTAAAAACATATTTCATAATTTAATCTTACCAGCTCGTGTAATATTAATATATTTTGCTATAGGTGGTCCTTTCAAAATACAGTCAACTCGAAATATCACACGAAATGTTGATCCACTTTCTTCTTCCAAGACTTTTTCAATTGCTTTTCCATAAACAACAATCGATGAATTTTCTACTTTAGTGGCAAAATCAATTGTATCTTCTGCACATTTTCGTTTTAATATTGATTTTCCATTGCACGTAGATAATACGATAAGAAAAAATATCGTACTAATAGCATTCATTATTATCGAAAAAAAAACAATGTGAATGATATAATCAATATGAACTTTGTTTGTCTTTATATATATATATATTAAGAAGGATACAAGAAAGAATGCACGTCCGATATGTATTTCTTTTTTCGTCAACAAAACGGACGGCGATGATAAAAGAAATACTTGACTTATTTCTTTCTATATAATACATCTGATCAGAATAATAATTCCTGATTTATCAACGATTCTAGATACATTTTGCAATTTTTCTAAGAATAATAAAATAAATTTGTCGTTTTCTTTCAATTTTCTTGAATTATTTGTTTCTCAAGACATTAGATATAAGTTTTTTTTTGATTTTTACAAAACATGGATAAGAGAATTTATCTAATAAAATATTTCTTCATCATACGTTTTGTAACAAGTTTACTAAATGGTTTCTTTAATACGTATTTATTTAAAAATATCGTAATGCTTGTTTCACTGAAACAATAAAGCAATGTCTTACAATGATCATATGCAAAAATTAATTTCAAACTGTTTCATGTCTTATCAATGATTCTAATCAGTAAAAAACAATAAGAACAAAATCATTTTCTTTATTTTTTTTGCTGTGTTCGTCTGAGAAAATGAAGATAAATATCTTTTTCATTTTACTTATTCTTCTCGTAATTCTAATTCAAATTTTCTTTATTGATATTTAAAGTTTTTCTTCTCCATTAGAACACATTATTTTCGCTATATATAATTTCTAATAAAAAAAAATCTAATGATTCTTATCATGCGACATAAAGTTTGATTGTTACTAACAAGCTGTTCATTTCTTCAATTTTCAACAATTGAATTTTTATTAAATGCTTCTGTTTTACTTTGTATATTTGTTAGACTAGAAAATGAGAGAAGATATTTTAGACATAGGAATTGATTCGTTGCTAACATACACTGAAACATAAGAGCTAGGATAGTAATAACATTGAGCTTCACGAAAAGCTTTTCCATCAATACAGTTATATAATTTATGTCTTTCAGTTTTATGTATTACTTTATGTTGAACGAAGCCAACAAAGGAAGAGTAAAAGATTTTTCTAATTTAAAATTGTTACTTGCTGCTAGTGTCTGTTCTTCTTCCATTTCTACTCATGGTGGTTCTCGCTGAGATTCATCTACAGAATATTTTATTTTTAAATTGAAAATAAATAAAAAATCTTCTTCCTCGTTGTCATATCAAGAGTAACAAAAAAGATGCAATGCCAGTACAATCATGACAGAATAATTTTTCTGTTTTGATTTTTATATTGATTCTTTTCTTCATCAGTGTTGTATAAACTGTGTGATGAATGAATAAATAAAAACGTGGCCATCAGCTTTTCGAAATCTTTATTATCTATCAAGTCCCATATAGCAGAGGTATTCAACAAAGATGATCAGTGATATTGGTACTATACAATGATAATATTGTTGATTTCTTTATTTGTGTGTTTGACCGAAGATACCAAAAAAATTTATTATATCAAATAAGTGTCAATCACAAATTCTTATTCTACAAAAAAAGACGAAGAGTACTACAAAAAATAATCTGAATTAAACTAATAATAATCATAAATGAAAATTGATTAGCTTGATTTTTTCGTGCTTCATCATCCGAAAAAAGCGACTTATGATTTTGACCTTGTAAAAAAGTTAAACTCAAGTTTTGACGTTGATGTTCAGCTAAAAGAAGTGACAATATTGCAAAATCAATTGTACTTTTCCCAAACAGTATAGAATTCTTTGCTATTGTTGTCGTCGATAAAACTGTATTTATTGTTGTTGTTGTAACGGTAGTTTTCGATGTTTCTAGAAATATAAAAATCAATTTTTTGAGAAAAGTATTCGATCAATAAACCTAATGGACAATCAATCGAAACAGCTGATGGACATTTATTAGCCAATACTGCTTCAGTATCATTCGATTCCGTGAATGGATACGTGCGTGTAAGACCACATGTTTTTTCCAGTAATAAATCTATTTGATTATTATATGGAATTTCATTAATATCAACTGGTCGATAAGTTCCATCAAAAAATGGTTCAAGAAAAGCAATATATTCTCGATTGACATCAAATCTTTGACATGAACGACGACCAAGAAGTGCTCCTAAAAAAATGATTTAATATAAAGAAAAACGAAAGCAACATTTGTTTTTTTTCTTCTTTATAAACCTGCTTGAACAATACGAATAATACGTTGTGTTGGTTGACCTTTTAAAATACATCGAACAAGAAATGTGACATTAAATAAATTTGGAATATTAATATCAATATTTTTATTTAATGAAGTGCCAATAAGAATCAAAGGTGATTGCTGAACTTTAATATCGAATACAGTATCATCTTGATTAGAATGTGCATCACAGTCAGATGATGATGTAATATATAAAGTTATGAAAATAAGAATTAGACTAAAGAAGAAACGATGAGTATTCATATTTAGTTATCGAGTAAAATGAATTTATCAAAATGAACGATTTTCTTTCTTCGTTTTTTCTCTATGATTCTCTTATCTCGAATTACTTCTTTCACTTTTTATAATAAGTGGATCGAATATCGAAAGATGTGATTATGATAAATAAATGTTCAATAATGCTTCTTTTATAAGAGAGCGAGGATATGAGCTACCAATTGACCTTTGTTAAATAAAAAAAAAGAAGGTTATTCGATCCTTCCCCTTTTATCAAACTTTTTTTTCTTTTTATCAAACATCGGATGATCAAGTATTTGAAGACGAGTTTTCAACAATCAAAAAGTCCTTTGATATGATGTAATCATATAGTCTTTATAACAATTGAAGGAAGATAATTAACAACAACGATTAGTTCCGACAAGATATAAGACTTAATGTGAAACAAAAAAACTTTTTAATGATTTTGCAGTCGTTACTGCTATTGTCTTATCTTACACCATCTTTCTTCTTTTTGGATCCGTAATAAAAAGGATCAGAAACAATGAAATTAGTAAAACAATTTTCAAATATTTTCTTTACATAAAGTATTGATTCGATCAATATTAGACTGTAGTTTACTATGCAATAATAGAACATTTATTATATTTATTGAAGAAAAAAAAATGCCCCAATGAGATACAAACTGCATATTCCATTAGAGTACTGCACAGTTACAATTTTTGATACTGGCACTCAACCTTTACAAAAATTTTCTACTCGTACCATTCATTCTTTTACTCAACCCCTATCCTCATTCTTTTTACCTATACTCTATCTGTAGCCATAGCAGCATTCCTACTTGTACTCAACTCGTATCGATAGTTCGAAATGTTCAATTAGGACTCAATAAATATCTTTATTTATCTTGAGAGTCAGTCAAACAATGAACCAACACAACTATTATAATAATTGACTGGGATAAACTAAATGGCATTCGCGTTTCACTGGACTACAAAATGCGGTGTGACGTTTCTGATGTCTATTGACGGATAAATTGATATTTTCTTTAAAAAATGAACAATCTCTTGGATGATTGAATATGAAACGCTTTTCTTCAAAGACAATCACACTATACTGAAATTAGGACTTCCTTTTTTGCTGCTGTAAAGTGGAAAAGTTATGTTTTTATCAATCAGATAATGGAAGTCAGAAAATAAAACTGTATAGTAGTCATTGCAAAGTTCATTATTAGGAGAACTCTATTAACGAATATAAATATTATTTTAAAGAATACTTTTGATTGATCACTATCGATTCGATTATGAGATTTCAGACTTTCTCTTCTTAAGATCATTGTGACAGAAAAGGACAAGTTTTGATGGCGTGCAGAATGCTTACCAAGCAGACTTAAGAATTTTGTGGACTTGTCCATATCCTAAACAAAAAGTCGAATATAATCTTCGATGTAGTGATGAGTAGATGGGTAGACTTTTATTACTAGTAACAGAAAACAACTAAGAATAAACATACAAGTATTGTACAACATCGACCCTGAATGAGTTCTAATGAAGAATTTTAAAAAATAACAGCAGTATTTAAACAGAATTCTTTTATTAGTATTGAGAGCGTAGAAGTCTATAGAATTCTCCCCAAAATATAAACAGATCAAAACTGGATAGTGCTGTGCTTTGATCGTCATCTCCTATAAACTTTGTCTTTTGGAACATAGAATCCCATTGAGAACTAAAAAAGAAAAAACAGAATCCTCGTTCACAAAATTCTGAATTCTGCTTGGTAGGCATTCTACAACTGCTGAGTATGACGAATAAAGCTATGTGAATATTAAAGTACAGCTAATGATCAAGTTTCACTAGAAAACAAATATCTTCCTCACAAATTTCTTAATGTTGGTCTAATTATTAATGATAAAGCTTTATTTTAATCTTTTAGTTTTGAGAATTGAATATGAACAAGTGAATGTGGCCTTAATATGGAAATAGTTGTACGAAATTATATTTTTAACAATGATAAGGTAATAGTCTTTGTTAGACTACTTATAGAATACTTCTTCATTATTGACGGATGGCAGAACAAGAGGCAAAACGCGCAAGTGCAAGTTCTGCAGATTTAACAAGCTACCTCTTTCAAATTTTTAGACAGACGAAACGAAACGTTAAAAGCTTCGCATTATAAATGCATATTTACTGTAAAATTATCATCCCCATTGATCTTTCTATCCTTGTAATAGATAGAACTCATCAAATACTCGTATCAAATTGCACTTGGAGCAAGGGGGAAAAACGAGACTTCACCGTACTTCACTTGTATTTCACTCATACTTCACTCCATTTTACTTGTACTTCACTCGAATTTTACTGTACTTCAAGCACAATTTTGAAGTACGAGTGAAGTACTGAAGTCGCACTTTTTCCCCCTTCGTTATAAGTCACTTTTCCGGATCATGGTTGCGATGCGTTTTTTCTTCAATAAGCAATTATAGCTAACACAATGAATGAACAAATCTGACGAAGTCGAAGGAAACAATAGTTAGCTGTTAAGATATTGATTCTTTGTTAATTTATTTTTCTCTTGACTGTCTCTGATATATAAATAGGCACGAATTAGTTCTTCTTTTCGAATACATCTGCTCCTAATATTATGTGTCATCCACGACGAAGTGTGCGTATATCTTAACGGCTGTATTTTTTACTTTTTATTTTATTTTAACAGTAGATTTTTTTTGAATCTGATCAAGACACTATAAAAATTGTGTGTGCATTTACCAGTTCGAAAAAAGATTCGTTGATTGATTTAAAATGGTTATTTTTGTTAAATATGTATAAGATAATGATTTTTCTTTTTGCGTGTTTTATAGGTCGACATTGCGAGTAAACCAAAAGGCAGTTCATCCGGCAGTAGTACAATTGACTCAAATACTAAATAACAAAGACAAGACCATATAACGAAAAGATGAAGAATTATTAACACTCAAAATGAAAGTCGAATCATTTGAACAACAATTAAAATCAATGCAAGGAAATTCGATTGGGGAAGAAAAATTTGCTAATCGTGAAAAAAATATTGGTGATGAAGAATTTACTGATGGTGAAGAACATATCCGCTATGAAAAACCGTTTTAAATTTTTTTCAACACATTCAAGCAATTTGTTTTTTACAAACTTGAGAGATTGATTTTCATTGTTCCAATCTTTTTAGTAATAATTAATCTGAAATAACTGTAAACATATTCTTGTTTTTTCGGACTATTGTTTGTTCAGATGTTATTCAATATTTTGTTATTAGAATGTGAATTTAAAAATAAAATTTACTTAATAATGTGTTAGCGTCAACAGGAAGTTAATACACAACAATTTCTTCATAAACAATTTGTTCCACATGACAAACAATAGCTGCTGCATCAGTACGAAACATATTCAAGAGATAAAATAAGAAATGAATTTTAGAACATTATGTTTTCTTTTATAAAAGAAAAATCATCCTCGATCATCTTTTTGTGCTTCTAAAAGTTCATCTATGGTTATTTCTCTTTCAGAAACTTAGATGTTTCTAAAAGAAAAACAAAGAATTATGTTAAAGTTGAATTTGTAGATATTTATCCATGTATCCAAGATCCAGAACACTTTGACGAGTAACACCAGGCAGGGGGATAGCGAGAAATGTTGTAAGGGGATTACCCACCAGCAGAAAAAATCCTTGATCCTTGCGAATAATTTTTTAGCCCTCTATCACTCTTCAGACATTTTTTGCCCAAGGGGAGTGCCCGTGTACATAGGGCATCCGCCCCCTGGCTATGCCCATGACACCAGGTAAAATAACTCCATTCAAAGGTGATGTGACTAATTATTTATTATTTGTTTTTCTTCTTTTTAGAGAGTGATTTATTTCATTTAATTTTGATTTTTCTACATTTCACTGAATGTGTTTTTTTAGCATTTGGATGTTCCATCACCAATGGAAGAAAATGAAGTTAATCAAATGGATATGATATGTCAAGCATGCGTGAGTAAATATTCATTCTTAGCTAATTATGATGTTGAGAACAATATTTCGTTGTTTTCTTTTTTTCAATGTTATTTGAGTTTAGAATCTCGTGGTGTCACTCTACAACCATCAATGAACAATAATACATAAGGTAAGAGTTTTCATCTAATCACTCTTTCTTTTCTCTAATAGTTGATTTCTTGATATAATTAGTTGCTAGTAATAATCCATCATGTTTCCTTCCTTCAAATAATAATACTGAAGTTCATACAATATTTCTATGCGATGGTTGGAGAAAAATATTATGTCGTTGTGTTCAATGTTCTGTAAGCTACAAATCATTAAAGATTTGAAATCGAAATTCTTTCTTATAATAATTATTAGAAATTATATGATGAATTAAATTTAACATCAATATTTGATGATGATGATGCTATACAAATATATGAAAAACAAGCATTAGCTAAAAGTGAAAATCTTGATGCTGATAAAATTATAGCTGATTCATTAGCAAATCTTTGTTATGTACGAAAACTTGAAGTTTCACATGATATTAATGAATTTAAAAAATCTCTTGGTGATTTTCTTCGTGAAAAAGCTAATACTGATGATGTATTAACAGCTGAAGATGTGACAACATTTTTTACTAATTTAAAAGAAAAACGTAAAGAGAACAACAACGAACAACGTTCATATCTTCTGATAATTGTAAATTCTAAAAGGCTTATTTTTATTGATATATTAGAAATAAATATGAAAGTATTTTGAACAGAAATTTTCTTTTTTTTAAAGGTAACAAGTACGAACAATAGGAATTTTAAATCGTATACTGTATACAGATAAATCTATTGATTTAAAATTGAATTCTGTTAGCGGTGATTCACTCTCATTCCTACCCCTTGATATTTTTCCATCTCTCTCCTTTTTTTCCTCTCTCTTCTCTCTTTTGTATTGCGTAATATATATGTGGTCAAGGACATTTTTATGTACACACTTTTTCTTTTGAAATAAAATAAGATAAGCTCGTCGAAACGAGCTAACAAATTCGAATCGTCTTTTTTTTTTATTAACCGTATTACTCAATCAGTTACTCTAAGTGAATCGCAACTTTATTGTTCTGTTCCTAGTAGAGTTCGGCGGTTCCAAAAAAAAAATGGAACCGAGAACCGGACCGGAACTGGCTTATTAGAACCGAGAACCGAACCGGAACCGCCTTTTAAAAATTTTTTGGAAACGGAATCGGAAGGGGAACCGTTTTTCAAGGTCACTAGCGTCATTGTTATATAGCACTAGAGTTCGGCGGTTCCAAAAAAAAATGAAACCGAAACCGAGCCGGAACCACGGTTCCGGGTAAATTTCCGAACCGCTGAACTCTAGTATTTACATAAGTACATGTTAAACATGTTATTTTGTTTAAAGTTTCCTTATTGTTTTACTTTTTCTTGTATGTGTTGAAAAAAATAGTTTTTCAATAAATATTTAGTTTTTATAATGTCAGGAATGAAAAAACTCAAATTGTTCAAAAATTTTTCGTATACTTTTGTTAATTTAACGGTTCCAACCGGTTCCAGGTAACTTTTCGAGAACCGAACCGGATCCGCTTTTTTCTCATTTTTACTACCCGAAACCATGGTTCCGGGTAATTTTTGGAACCGCCGAACTCTAGTTACTAGAGAGCCATGGATCCGGGTCTGATTCACAAAAAAAATGTAGATCCAAAGCTCCCTATAACTAAGTATCAACTAGTATGAAAGAATTTTTTGTGCAAGATTTTTAAAACCGATATCATTAATTGTTTTAAATGTTCGACAGTTGAATATTGCAAATCCAATGCAAGAAACTTGAATTCACTTCTTCACTCGATCTGGAATAACTGATTCATTTTTTGAAGACACATGAAACAGATTGATACTTATTTGAGTACTACTAGAAACTGTCGTTCTTTTTTTATTTTGTTAACTACGAATATTCATAGGTAGTGAATTACTGCCAGAAGATGATTTATCAATAAATAATTTTTCATATTGATTGTATGGAACAGATTTTTGTTTCATCTCGTTTCCATAAACACAACTTAGTCGATTTCGTATATCTGAAGATTTGGATGTTACAGTTCTTTTCAATTGAACAAAAACATTTAATTTATGAAGCATTAACTAATAGAAAAGTGAAGGATGAAAAATAAATATACGTTGGCTTTTTTTGAGAGTAATCAATAAATAACTAAAACTTTGATTCTTCAGTTGTTCATGTACACAGAGGGTGTCAGATATTGATGGAAAAAAATTTGGATTTGGATCGGATCCACAAAAACGTAAATCCACAGCACCCAAACTGTTACATTCTAATGTTTGGCACAGATTAAACAGGACAGTATCATTCTCTTTTGTTTTGAACATTCAAATACACTTTCAGAAGATCGTTCAGTAGAGAATTTTTTTCGTTGGAATAAATTTAAAATAATAACACTGAGTCAATCGTCCAATTGCGACGGTTAAAAATAATGCAAACTTTTTTTTTAACAACGGCTTTCTAAAATGATAAGCATGCCATCAAATTCTCATTTCTATACAACCTAATCGTTTGTACTTTTCAAATTAGCAGTCATATTATTTTGTGCAACATTAAATTCCACATTCGGCAGTGCGAGAATGACTGTTTCATACATTAAATCTCGCTTTAAAAAAATATCAGTAAATTTTGTTCTCGTGAGCAATAGCATCAGAAACCTTGAAAAGATTGTAGAAGCGAAGAGCACAAAATGCCTTATTTCTTACGTTGGTCTTCATGTGCAAAGACTTATTCGAATTGATAAAGATCTACAGAAAGTCGAAATTGCAATTAGATGATTGAGTAGACGACGTTCATATTCTAAATTTTGCTTAAACAAGAAAAATTCATGTGAAAAACAAACGAAACAGTTTTGTAGAGCAAAAAATTTTCCATTGATTGACTTTCGGAAATTTATCGACTTGGCCCAGAAAAGAAAATTATTTTGTATTATTTAATCTGCACCACCCGTTCATGTATCTAAAAGACTGATTTTTGCTGCTATCTACTATTAGAACATGTCGTATAATCGATTTCTTCTTTTTCCCTTGAAATTTTGGAAGTTATCAGAATTAAAGAAAACACTGTACTTTCTGAATATAAGACTGATTAGTGTTTTTAGCATGTTTTTTTTGTAATAATTTTTTCTGACTCTAACATGCGCGACCACTATTCGATTTTCTGTCACACAAGATTAAAAATAAGTCTATGATTAAACTATCGGCGTATTGTTGAATCAGTGTCAGTGAATGGGGAATAAGCCGATTAAAAAAAACAAGAGGAAAATGTGTTGTTTCATGTTTATCACAGCTATGAAATAAAATTTAAAAATTTAATTGACGCGATAAGACTTACGAGAGATCTTTCATTTTGCTTAGCCTATAACTCTCTTATGGTATTGCAGTTTAAAGTGAAACTTTGATCAATTTATCAATTACTTATAATCATCTATTATTGAAAATGTCAGCGTAAGAAAACTTCTGATTCATGAGAACAAGAAAAAAATAATGTCAATGCGTCACGTAAACATATAACATGCGTATTACTTGACAATTAATGTCAGTGTAAATATATTATTCATATTTGTTCGATTTTTATCTTAAATATTATGAAAATAGCTGCAAACTGATTGTAAGTTGTGTCTGATGGAAGCCATTTTATGCAGATGACCTTTCAAAGAGTGTCTAATAAGTTTCCATTTCCTTTCAGTAATATTCTTTTCTTATTATATTTTTCAGTAGAATAGGCTGATATTTACAGTATATATGCCAGACATTTAGATTCTACTCTACACTAGAACCTGGTCTTTCTACTTATAGCCATAGAGACACAAGTAACATCAAATTCATAGGAATTTTTTGAATTATTTCTACGAACAGCAATTACTCCTGGATTTTGTCATTTGTCAGTTTTTGCAACAACTAACTTGGTATCAATTTCTTAATAGGATCAGGACAGCAAATATCAAACAAGAGTTGTGATGAATACTATTGAATCTTTATTTGACAAGCGTAATTATTCTGAAGTTTGTAATACAAAAGTAAAAAGAATAGATAGCAGAAATATTTGAAAATGAATCAGAATTAGAAAGTCGAGTAGTACAAGAATGAAACGTGTTTATTGAAAGAAAATACGAGCAAATGCATAAACATTCACGAACGTTTTTTATTTAATATCCATAATACAAGGGCGAAAAAATCTTTACAATTCAAAAATTCCTTTAAAATAAGTTCATTGAGGAAAAACAAAAATTTTCCAAGATTGGGAGCAACCTCTACTTGTATCTCTGTAACTATAAGAGGTAGAAAGCTCAAAGTCTTGGATAAAGTAGATCTTGATGTCTAGAATATGTACTGTGAATATCAGCATATTCTACTGAAAACTATAAAAGAAAAGAATATTACTTGAAGAAAGTCAAAACTTATTAGACGCCCTCGATATATGTTAGCCTCCAATGTAATATTCGCTTGACAATTTTATACCCGTCTCAAGAGGGTATAAGTGTAATGAGAAACAAAACTTACACCTTTCTGTTAAAGTTGTTGATCTTTTTTTGTGTTATTTGCTTATGATGAGATATTGTATTTTGTTGAAAATAAAATTTCATATGCCATGGTTAATTTGCACTTTCATGTAATATGTTAGTCAATTAAAGATTAACCTAAGCCAATCTGAGTTTCGTCTAAAATTTTCAGACGAACCTTAAATTAGATGTACTATCATTGATTAATCCGAGAATGACTTGAATTAATGTCCGTCCAATGTCGAACTTTGCATTCGACGCTAATATAAATCTATTTATTTCTATGTTTTCATCCACTGTAGAATATATTTATTCTAGTATTTCATGAGTTAATTCAAACACAACGACAAGAAAGAATATAAATACATAAATGACAATCAGATGTATAATTTTGAGAGGTATATACTGATAGGTAAGAAAAATAGATGAGAGACAATGAGAAAGAATTTCACTATTGCAGAAACGTAAACAGTTTTAAATGCGCTATATAAGAATGATTGGATAAATATTTTTCAATGCAATAGACGATTAGTATTCTTCTGAAAGGAAAATTGTTGACACGAATAGAAACATTTTACCATGGAAATAAACAAACAAAAACAACAAAAAGATATTAAATAAAGATCAACACATCACTACAATTCAATAAGAAAAAGACATCTGACACAATACAACAAGTTACAATTTTCTTTTTATTTTCAGTTCAGTTGAGCAACGTCTTCTTGGAGAAAATGTTTTATTAATTAATGTCCATTCGACGATTATTAGTTACTGTATCTGAAGTTACTATTTATTGACATATATTATCTTTCGATATAATTTCATTTACCTCCTAAGAAAAGTATTTCTTTAGCCATATCTGAACCGATTATTAAACTACCATGAAATTGATTACTGTTTCCAGCATGAACATTCTATAATTGCAAAATAGATTTTAAAAAAATATAGAATCAATAAAACAAATATACTTTAATATGATGGAGTACAGCTGATGAATAACTTGATGCAAATTTTTTACAAAATGGACAATTATAACGATGACTTTTACCAAGAGTTTCTTTATAAATTGTTGATACAGCTAAAAAAAGTAAGACAAAAAATTAATAAAATTTGAATTTCAAATAAACATACGAATTTGTTTCAAATTTTTCATATCACTATCTAATGATAATGATCGAGCTTGTTTCGAATGAATTAATTTATGTTGATTCTAGAAAAAAGAAAAATATTTTATGATTTGTCAAATTTCCTATTTCAAGCTCATTCTTCATCATAATTGTGTAACTCATTTTTTATTGTATGTTAAATAGCTTAATGCATTAATCATTGAGAGAAGATGTATTAGAAATTAACATGAGCTAATGCAATAATAGAACCGAAATGACATAGATGGTTTCTGAGATCAACAATTCAAAACTTAGCATAATCTTCGTTAATCATTGTATCCAGCGCAGGTATAAATTTTCATATCCGACAAACTTTATCAGTTAAAAAAAGTTTGAAAAGTTTTATGTCGAATTCAACAAGGTTTGCGGCTCATGAGAGAACTTTTCCAACTGATGCCTTTCATTCGAATTCATATTTGACTAATTGTCAGGATTCAGTGTATAGATAAAATTTGTGATTTTTGCTGAAAGCTTCAAGTTACTATAAGACGTATGAAATCTATGTTCGGTTAAAATTTCAGACTAAAATTTCTTGATTCAGTGTTGTTTGTATTGCCATACCGTCGTACGCTGAAAATTTTGTAAAATAATCATAAATCATGAAGAAAGCACTAATGGCACATATCCTTTTAGAACTTATACCTGTACACTGTATTCTAACAAGGAGTAAAATATGAACTCGAACAAAGATTATCAGTTAGAAGTATTCCATCGTCAGTTACATTATATCTATGCATAAATAGCAATTTGAAACAATGAGGACTAGTTTCGATTGTTGAAATCTACATGACTGTTGGATTTCACCAAGTAGAAAGAGATCATAACTGGACCAAATTCAATAATTGTTTTCATGCCAAGCATCTGAACTGTATCCAAGCACTAAATGAAACCAAATGTCAGTTAATTGACTTGGTTGCAGGATGCCAGTTAGTTATACCTCGATATTCTATTGAAAGACCAACAACATTGAGGATATTGATGTTAATATAATTGACAATATTTTGTGAACCATAATAAAGTGAAACTACTTTCCAAGTGAATACATACAAGTTGGTTACGACAAGAAAATAGATTGAATTTGGTAGCATTACTCTAGGCAGGAAAGTCTGTGGATTGTTCCGGTGATTTCCAGTCCATTTCCTGTTTCTTACGGTAGGATATGACCAGAAATTGCCGGAGAAATTGGTAGGCTTTCCGGCCCGGAATACGACTTCGAAGTTCCGGTAACGTTTACTCGCTTATAAAAGACGTAATCATCAACCTGAGTTGGCCTACTGAGTTTTACCTTGTAAATGAGTTGGTGTTAAAAACTCTATGCATTGTTAATGATCGCCGAAATGACCTGTGCTAATGAGTCTAATTTCTTATTTAGATCAGAAACTTAAATTTCAATTTATGAAATACGATAGGCTAAAACGATCATGTCGACAGAGAACATTTCTTAATCATCAATTAAACTCTATGGGTTAGATGAAATCTAACAAAAATATTATAATAAGCGAACAATAATGTAACTATATAAGCCATTCTAGCAATAAAAATCTTTAATGTATTCTACTACTTTACTTAGAATAAAAATAATAATTCAAGTTTCAATCGTTTATTAATTTTACAAATCCATTTTCTAATTTAATTAATTATTATGCAATTCATCTAATGTTCTATTTGTGAAAATGCTCAACAGATTTATAGATTTAAACATTTCTTAAACACTATACCTTTCCATCCTTATCTTTAAAAAAGTTACAAATATGAAGATCTTAATGTCTCATTGTAAACTAACAACAGAGACCTTTGAAATATTTTTAAGAACTTACAGTATATGCTAGAGAATTTGACGCAAATGAGCAATGATGACATTTATATATATTTAATGAATTCTCTTGATGACATGATCGATGATGATCATATTCTAGAATTGTTGTTGATATATACGGACAATAAATACAATAAAAACTTCGTGGTTTTTTCAATTGTTGTTCAATAAATGATCTCTTTAAAATTGTTTGTCGTATTGAAAAATCAGCATCACATGCATACTAAATTTTTAAATTTGAAAAAAAAATGACTATCCGAAAAGAATAGGATCAAAGAATTACATACATGACATGGAATTAAATTATTTGAAGAATTTTTTTTCGAATGTTTTTTTGCAATATGTAAAATAATTTTTGTTCGATATCGATGATTATATCCACAGAATGAACAATAATAAAAAACATTTTTCTTATTATGCTTTAATCGATGAAGATAAATATGTTGTCGGGCATAATTTGTATTTACTGTACGATATGAACATTTTGTACATTGATATAAAGAAACAACAAATTTTCCATGAGGTTTTCCTTGTTGAGACTAAAAACAAAAAATTTATTATTTAGAATTGATACACACAATAACAAATTTTACTTTTTGAACTTTTGAACAAATATGTTTATCTAATTCATGAATTTTCGATGAATGAAATGCACAATCCATACAAGTAAATATTCTTTTAGGTTTTAATATTGATATTTTATTTGGTATTGTTACAATAAGTGGTTGTGTTGATGTTTCTAATGCAGATGTTGATGTATAATTATCTGGACGAAGACGATCATAAATACATTGTTCAAATTCAGTTTTATCTTTAATTTTTTCCCAAATTGATTTTTTTAAATCTTCCCATTTAATTTGACGAAAATCTGTAAAACGAGCTAAAACTTTTTTCGATACAACAAAACCAAATGTACGTTCATATTCATCATAGGTTTTTTCAGCTTCTTCACTTGACATTTCATAATAACCATTTAAATTTGGTTCAACTTTATGTCGTGCTCGTATATGACGTAAACAATCTGTACGCCAATTTGTACGATAAAAACAATATGGACAACGATAAGGTTTAAATGATGGACGAGAAGATGATTTTGGTATTTCTGATGATGTTGATTTATCTATTCGATCATCTTCAAATATAATAACTGAATCTTCAGGATGATCATCAACAACAATTTGACTTGTATCAGATTTATTAGGTTCAATCATTAATAATGCAGCAGCTTCATCATCAGTAACATCAACTGTTCTTGCATCAGCTATACTTATTTTTAAATCATCATCATCTTCAATATCATTTTCATGTTTTAATTGATTATTTATACTTGACATTGTTGCTGATATAAGACTATCAATTTGTGGAATATATTCTAAATAATGAAAATTTCGATTTTTTAATAATTCATCTTCTGATGTTTCATGCATTGTTTTATGATGACGTTTAACATCATAACGCCAACGATAACCACGATAACATAATGAACAATAATATAAACGATTTGGATTAAAATTAGGATGTGATGAAAATTTTTGATAAACAACATTTGATGAATTGGATAAATGTTGAGAATTTGTATCAGATGAAATTATATTTGTATGATTATTATTTGGTTTAATCATTTTTGTATGATTTGCTTCAATATGTTGTTCTATATATCGTGGATGATTTGAACGAAATTGACATAATGAACATTGATATTGATGTTTGGAATCATGACGACTATGTAATTTTGTATCAAATGCACGTTCTCTCATATATGCATTTATAGTTTGTTCAGCTTCTTCATGAGATAATTGTAAGACTTCAAAATTTTGATTTGGATGTCGTTTTTTTGCATGACACTATGAGAGAATTAACATAGAATTATTTATTATGAATAAGAGAAAAGTAATTCTTAGTGTTTGTTTTGATAATAAATGTAATACTTTTTAATGTTTCTGAACAATGTTGTTAAAAATAACCTGTATTCTTGAATATATATATATATATATATATATATATTTATAATAAATCGACAATGTAGGAGATAGAAACACTTAAATAAATGCTACTTTCATAAAGAAGACTCCCTTCTGTGTTAAGTATAGGTTTCTATGAATATCTTTCAACTAAAATTAGAAAGAAGTACATTGTCATTTGAGATTAAGATTACTGAAGAAAACAAATGTATGAACGAACAATTGTGTGCATACGCGTAAGATGTATGTAAAAGCTTATCATTATAAAACATAATGTCATATTTAGGATTCTTATTACAGTATGTTCTGAAATTCTGATTTTCTGGATACGTAACGCAGTTCAAAATAAAACTTGTAAATCACTTCAATCTCAATTGAGGATTGACTTATTTTTTTATTGTAGTATACTATTCAACTCTATACAAACAAATCGTTTGCATATTCAATTTAGATATACTATCTACATTGTTTACAGTATTCATAATATATACCTGAATATACCATCGAAGATTTGCACGCCAACCACAAATTGAACACATAAATGGTTTAATATTAATATGTGTTGCAATATGAAGTTTAAGTTTAGTTAATGTTGGTGAACTAAAATAAGAAATAAAAACAATAAAATAAAAAATGAACATATGTATATATATATGGACATATATTGATCTTACGAATGTTCACAATGTGGACATTGAAATTTTTTAAAAGATTTTGTAAATGAATTTTTATTATTTTGTGTTGATTCAGGTAAATTATTGATTTCTTGTTGATATTTCCAAAGACTTAAAATAATTAAAATAAGATTTTTTTCTCAATAAAAAAAATGTTTTCATACGCATCATCTTCATCATCATCAATATCTTCCTCAATCATAATCATTTCATCATTTCCATTTGGAAGAACTTCACCATATGATTGTACATTATCAATTAAAAGTGCTGATAAACCATTATCATCGTCGTCGTCATTATTATTATTATTATTATTATTATTATTATTATTATTATTATTATTATTGTGTATGATGGCTTCTTGTGTATGTGAAGAATAATTTCTCTGACATTGTATTTCATGTTGTGAAATATCTTTTAACCAAGATGTTGTATATGAACAATATTTACATTGATATGCTTTTGTAAAATTTTCAACTGTTGTTGTCGGTGGTGGTGGTTGTGGAGGTAAAGATTTAACTTTAAGACGAATTTTATAATGTCCTGTTGCCGATGGTGGTAATGGTACATTTGTGTCAAGTTTTCCAACATATCGACCGGCTTGTGCATGACTTATTTCATGTTTTCGACGTATATGTGCTGTGCAATCATGAAAATTCTATTAAATAAAGATTTACAAAAAGATTAGAAAAGAATGATTTTCTTGTTTTTGTTTTCGATTAAAATTACTTTATAAGTTAAATGACAAATTCGACATTGAAAATTTTTTTGAATTGGTTGTATTGCTGATGAATAAAAGGAAGGTGATGGAAGAATAGGAGTGGAATTAATTGGTTTTGTTGGACTATTACTGGCACTTTTTGGTGCTATTGGTCGTTGTGAAGTAAGATTTGAATGCACAAAATTTTCATTTCGAATTACATTAGGCTAAATTTAAAAATAAAATAATTCTTTTAGATTTTATAGAAAAAAAAATAAAAACAAACCTCAGTAAATCTTCGATCATTTTTATCTGCTGCGATAATACGATTCCAAAAATGAATAGAGCCTAAATAACAAACAAAAAATAAAATTAATTTATTATTTTATTTTATTTTTTATACAGAATAAAGAAGAAAAAAAAATACCTGGATCGACATTCGATTGTTTAAATATTGGTAATGATTGCCGTGGTGCTTGAGAAATAATCTTCAAAACAAAATAGCTTAAGAGTAAACAAAATGTTATGTTTAAAAGCATACTTGATGACTAAATGCCGGTTTACGTCTGGATCGTTTTTCATTTGATAATAATGATACATTTTTTGGTGGTGCTTCACTTTTACTGGCTGTTTCTAAATGTAATAGAGCAAACATTACGAAAAAAAATAAGATAATTGATGATATCTGTAAACAAACCTTCACTGTGTGCTTCATTTAAATGACTAATTAATTCAGGCAAGCTTGTACCATTGAAACTACATTCAGGACAAATAAACGCTGTACCGTCTGTGTCGACAGTAGTATCCATCATCATTTTTGTTATTTTTTTATCTGAAACAGAATTTACGAAAACGAAATAGAATTGACCGTCGACGAGATTATTGCCTCTCTCTCTCTCTCTCTCCTTCCTCCCAATACAATGATTGTGCGCGTGTGTATACTGCCGTTGTCTATCATTAGAAGACGAAGGAAAAAAGAAGAATAGACGTATGTGCGTCATGTTGGGAGAGACAGACAAAACAACAAGACATGTAGTAGGAGATAGATTATGTATTTTGAATCTTTATTTTTTGTGTTACGGATAGAACAAACATGGACAAAATAATATTATTTTCTTACATGTGTAGATATTTTTTTTTTCAAGAGAAAATGATAAATGAGTATGGTGTTTGTATATCTATTTATGTACATATTGTTCTGTGTATTTCAAGTAAACAACAGACACATACCTTAGTAGTTACCTCAGCCTTTCTTTTTTTTCTTTCCCTTCGTATGCAACATCGAACGAGCATAGTTAGAATGTCTGCCAAGGTTCGCGCGCAATGTGCTCTGGCACAGCCGAGAACTATTGCAGCTTGCTCCGACGGGAAGCAACATTGTCAATTTCTTGCCTGTTCTTCCTCTTTGCTTTTGGGAAGAGAGTGCAAGTAAGGGCATATGCACGACTTAACTATAGATGCTGCCTGAAGAATGAAAGCAAGTACTCATGCCCAACATCATATAATGATGATAGTGATGATGATGATGATGAAAAGAAATAACACAAGTAGTAATGGTGTCTATGTTAAGAAAAAAAAACGAGCGCATGTAATAAGGATGGACTTGGCCAACTGTTTTGTTTTTTTAGTAGACATATAAAGACAGCCATAAATCATACACATCACCCACTAGTTTCACATTATAAAAGGAGATGTAAAATCAGAAAAAAAACACATAACACATTAGAATAGAGGACAAAAAAAGAACTATATCCATCAATTGATTGCTCGAACTGGACACAAAAAAGGATCAATAAAGATAAGAAGAACAATAACTATCTACTACATCATGTCACCTTCCTATTTTGACCAATCTCTTTCTTCTCTTCTCTCGTTCTTTCCTCATTTTCTACGACTTCCTGCGCCGTCATTTCATTAGATCACATGTCCTTTAATGCTGACAAAAAAAATAGAAAAAATATTCCTTTTCCCATCATCATTGATACAATCTATAGTATAGATTTTTCGTTATTCAACCATTGTTTTTTTTTTGTCTGCTTACTGTTAAACTGTTAAATAAACTATCTATCTGTTGTCTTGTTTTATTTTCTATAAAAAGAAAAAAAACCTACAAAAATAAATCAATAATAAATTTTATCTAATGAAAACGATCTTAATCAATTACTTCGTTCGTCATTGAAATCATGAAAATAATACAAGCTTACTTTACGTGTATATATTTTTCGTATAAAAATGTATGCATGGTATTTGTTTCGAACAAGTAACAATCGTTACTGTTATAACCCTTACTATAGCGGGTTGTTTACTGAATGAATTCTTCTCTTTTTCCCCTACCCTTTTATTCGTTCGCCCATCTCCTAGATTGCTGCTGCTGCTATTACTATTCTATACTGGTGCGTATGCCGAGGAAGAGAACACGTCCGCTCGCTTGCAAGGATAGAAGCGCGCAAGCACGCACACACACACACACATATATATATATATATATACTAAAAGCCAATGCATTTGTTTGCCCGTTCATCACATTGTATGGACGGACGGAGGAATAGATGGATAGACGAGAGGAGAATATAAGCGAACGAAGAATCGAACGACGATTATCATCTTCTCAGATGCTTCCCGAAAGCAATGGTCGACAGGCTGACTGTAAGCGTGCATACGGCGTCAGCTTTTCTCTTTTGTCTGTCCGCGTTCTCGACACAGGTAGATGTGAGAATGAGTGGGTGTATTTGCTTGCTGCGAAAGAGAAGAACAGACGAATGAAGCAATGGCTGATAGTTAGTCTACTGAGAGAGATCGGGAGAAACGATTGCAGCCAGTAGGAATACCGACATTTTACTTGATGATTGCGTGATCAAGTAAAATGATGTTGTGCGTTGTATGAATGTGTGAAATGCAAAGAATGCCATTTGATATAGCAACAATTCGAGTGTCACAGAAGAAAAAGACCACAAATAAATATCATTTATTGGGTTTCTGGTTTTTAACCAAAAGAAAACATTTTTATTCTATCATCAACAGTAATCTATTTTTAGAAAAATATTGTGTTTTTTATCTCAATACATATATTTAAACATTTATTTTCATGATATTATATCATAAATATGTTATTAAAAATATGTAAAGTTATTGCAAAGAACTATCCAGATATTTTCTTGATTGTATAGAATTCCACATTTTGATTGTTCATTTATATTATGTATATATTTGAAATTCAATAGTGACACGCAATTCTGTTGAAATATTCAACTGAAAATGACATCTGAGATATGACAGTTAATGCAGTATGTTTAGGGATAATTGTTTTGACTGAAAAATGCGTTAGGCAATTTGTTTTTCTCTCAAGCAGACATTCTTATTGGATATTGTGACTTTTAATCGATCATCGAGTACGCTTTTTTGTATTCAATTTTCTCCTGTGTTAACTAGAAAAGGCATTGAGAAATCATTTCATTTGACAATTGTTCATGTTATCTGAAAATGATGAAGTTTTTTACCGATTTTTTTTTTGTTAAAACAAAATTGTGTTTGAAAAAGTTCAAAATGGCTGATTTTTTTAGTGTCAGATAAAGCAGGCTTTATTTACTCTTTTATTATAAAGAATAGACATTATGAAAAAGACTTCAAAATCAATGAAAAATAAATTTAGGTTTGATGAAATCTTTTTTTCTAGAATCTAAAATATTTTAAGCTAGCTTTCAAGGACTTCAACAAATTTTGAATCTAATTAAATTCACAAGAAATTTGCATAGTTTTGAAGTTGCCTAAGTGAAATATTAAACCTTCAATTTCCATTGTGTTTTTTTAGAATGAACTCACAAGTTCAAAGCATTTTTCTAAATGCGTAATTGTCTGATTTCTGTATTATAATTTCAATTTACTAAACATAAAAAGAGCAAAAATGACTATTTCATAATAACAGAAAAAACATCGAGAAGCTGAACAAGCAATGAATTTAATCTTAAACCTTGTAGGAATACTTAAAGTGCGATGATTTTGTATTTAAAAGCGCTAGCGTTACCCTATGTTTAAATAATTCCAATGGAGACAAAAAAAAATAAAAATAACAACTTAATTAGCTAAATGCATTTGCTTTATTATTGATTGTAAAACGAACTTTATGTGATCCGTAAGATATTTCAAACTTTAGAAGCTCATTGTCGCTACATTCATATTTGCACTCGTTATCAATTAAAGATGAAATATAAAAGCCATAAACTTTATCAACTTTTTATTGCTTTTAGTCCGAGTGTAATTATCATATGAAGCGCAAAAAAAAACTAAAAGAAACTCTGAAACTGAAACTATAATTAAAAGAAAAGAAGAGGAACTCAAAATGACGTTATTTTTTTACATAGAAATAAAGATTAAAAATAGAAAAAAATCTATGAATTTATTAATGTTTTTGACTTTGAAATATTTTCTTCATATTATCATTAAACTTCGTAAAATATTTATCGACTTCTTCACGTGAGTTCATTTTTCTTGCTTCATCTGAATATTTATAACTAATTTCTTGTTCGCCTTTTTTTAAACGTTCAAATGTTGCTTAACAATATTGAACAAGTAGTTCACCAAATGTATGACTATCACCAAGATTTGTTTGTACAGCTGATGGTACGATTTCATAGATTTGAATATTTTTGATTTCGTTCATTAATTGATAACGAAGACTCATTGTAAATGAATGTATAGAAGCTTTTGTTGCTGAATAAATTGGTATTGATGCAAATAGTATAAAAGCTAAATCTGATGATACATTAATAATAGCTGTGGTTATTTTCATTTGTCGAAAATTTCGTATAAATAAATGAGATAAATGTATTGGTGCAGATATATTTATTTGAATTTCTTTTTCTCAGGAAATGTTTTCTGAAGACATTTCATCTGGAATAAATGGAGCGCGTTGTTGAATACCTGCATTATTCATAAGAATATTTGTTTGGGGATAATCACAAGTTATTCATTCATATAAAGCTTGTCTTTCGTTAACTTTTTCGACATCATTAAGGCGAAAGATTACTTTTTTCTTTCCAGTACGATTTAATTCATCAGCAGCTTCTTTTAATTGTTGCTCACGACGACCTGTAATTAGAACACTAGCACCGGCTTGAATAAAACATTGTGCAAGGCCAAAACCAATGCCACTTGAACCACCAGTAATGAGAACAGTTGAAGATTCAATATCTAATGGTTGTGAATAACACTTATCAGCCATTCCTTACTTAATCAAATAGAAAATACTTGAATGTGGGCAATAGAAAGAAAAAAATGTTGAAGTATAAAAAGAAAGAATGAAATGGCACGCTCACACTTTTACTTCTAGGTTTTACATAACACGCACTTAATTTTTTCTTTTCTTTTTCTGTAGTGGTTGTTCTTTGCAATCATATCGACTCAGTTTTTTCTTTAGTTAAATTTCTACGAAGTGTGTCATGCATAATAAACACATGAAGGAAACAGTACAAATATTTGTTGTCAACTGGTACTTTTTAATCTTGTGCAAACGAGTTTCTTTTTTGTAGTTTGTTTTGTTTGTCTTTCTTTTGTTTTCTAACGATATTACACTAATCGACAGAAAAGTAATTTTTGTTTTTGTTGCTGTTTCTGTTCATTTACTGATGATTATGCTCATCGTTTGTACAGATAGTCATTCAAGAAAAAAAGATATTTCCACACTAATGAATTCTTAAACAGAAAAAGACTAGCAATCGATTGAAAGTTATATAGCTAAAAACATTTTATTTTTTTGCACTCACACTCTGATATGAAAAATCAATTTTAATCAGAAGCAAACACCTTGTTGTGAAAGTTTGACCCATAAAACATTGATACTACAAGAGTGAGAAACTGTTTTTTTTTTAATAAATGTATCAGTACTATTTGTAACTCAATTGATCCATGGATATTTATCCGTATTAGCATAAATTGTTAATCGATTGATGAGAAATCAATATAAGAAAAAAAATCATTCAATGCTAAACTTAAACAATAAATATAATCTTCCTATGAATATTATTTGAATAAATATATGAATCAATGCAGAAAAAGGTGTTTCGAATAAAAAACATATGATTCTATTTATAAAATAGTTGAATTTAAAATAATTACTTCTATTGTTCGAATCAGATAAATATTTAATTAGTTAGCAAATGAATGATTCAATCTATATAAATATATATGTGAATGAAAGAATAGTAATTGAAGAAAGAAGATTATTGCCGAAACAAAAATCATTATTTGTTGATGAATAAGAAACAGATGATCAAAGTACTTGAGAGGTTTGTAATGCAATTATAGTATGAATCAATAAATGCAAATTTCCAAATAAAGTCTCTGCTCATTATTAAAAAAAATCATAGAAAAAAATCTGCTTATGCTTATTTACCGATAAACGGTGCATATTTTCCGACTTGTTTTGTCAGAAGTAACTTTTTCTTTTCTGAATTACTCAACTAATTAAACGTACTTTTTCCTTTAAACAAAATATACAATGGTTAAAATTATCAAAAAGCAAATAGTAAAGAAACTCAAAAGAAAAGATTTACTTGCCACAAAAGTGATATCCACAATAAAAGTCGAACATGCCAAGCGGTAGATATCTGGTTTAGAAGCACAACATGTACTTATCTATGTCAACAAGTGTCTTGAACATTAGAAATAAGTTTCATTTCTAGAAGAGAAAACACAAACTTCACAAGAAGCTTCTTCTTTTGCTAATTTATTTTACTATTTAATAAATTTCTTGTTCGATGCATTTATTAAATCATTCGTTATTTTAATTTTCTAATGTCCACATCTCTTCTAATTTCTGCGTTTTTCCATTAGAAAAATAGTTTATAGATGCTCTCACCCTTTCTGGACGCATTGTTTTTTTTTTTTTTTTTTTTTTTTTGTTCTAGATTTACTTCTGAGCGGTCTCTAGCTATTAGACCTGTTTTGAGAATTCAAATATACTTTTAAAGTTAAGAAAAAAAAGTCGCACAGATAAACATTTTCTATATGAAAATAGTAAGAATTTTTTCTTTTTATCGCAGCATTCTGGACACCTGATTCAACGTAATACATACAGAATCGTTCGGGTTTCTCAGACACTGAACATCCGATTGCACTGTAACTTTTGCAATAAATCCTAAATAGTGTTTCGAATGTCTATTTTCACAAATATTGTACCAATGATTGTAAGTATACCTTACGAGAAAGGAACAACTATAGAAAGAAACCTAAAACTTAGACGAGCGTAGGTGTTTTTAGTATCTGTGAAAAAGTTTAAGTTTAAATAGATGCACTACCTCAGAGAAGAAAAAGCACTGGATCACATCAGGCACCTTGCAACCTCCATATCTCTATGATGAAAGTATCTGAGAATTTGAAGTTTCTGGCAAATTTTACTGTACTCATCAAGATGTATGTACGTTTAAGGTTTCAGTTTTTTCTGATGAGTCGGTCTTTAGAAGTGCCGAAAACGAGCAATGTTTCCTTAAATACAAGGCTAGTCTGGATAAGTAGAGTAATATTAATTCGAAATTCTGTAAATTGCATAGTACTTATATCTAACAGGCACGGTCTTAAACAACTATATACAGAGAAATATGATCATTTATATTGGCCAATCTTACGCTTATTTATCTTTTTGTCGTATAAGGATATATATGATCATTTATATTGGCCAATCTTACGCTTATTTATCTTTTTGTCGTATAAGGATATATATGATAATTTATGGCAATAAAAAGAATTCATTTACTGTCTTTGTTCATTCAAGCTGCACATATCTTCTATTTTACTCCATTATACGGTCACAGAGACAAAATCGTAATGCTGAACTATTTAATACGAAAAAATATCATTGCATACTGAGAAATACAGCACGTAAATAGACCTCCATTCATCCATCTGGGTGTCCTACATTCAATTTATACATAATTCACGCATATAATCATTAAGTACATTCTCATTACTTTCGGAAGCGATGCCAAGTTATTTGATGACTTTTCCTGAATGCATATGCTCTCTAACATTATTTTTTCTTCTCACTCGTTGCTGACATTATTTTTGTCTTTTCCGCCTCGTCGAACTTTCTTTTTATTCTTTTGCCATTTTCTAAAATAATTAATGCTGCTCAAATGAGTACATTCGGACCGATTCCGGTGGAAAAACTCCGGAAACCAATGAAGCATGAAAATAAGTGTTCGAGTAAGAAAGTTACCGGAAAAATCAGCAAGTTTTCGGTTCAAACCACTGTTTTTACATTCTATCGATTTCTGGAGTTTTTCGGCTATATACTATGATTTTTCCATATCCTTCCGAGTAGTTCCGACTAAGTTCGCTTGTTTCCGGAGGTTGCAATTATCGATTTGGTTAAGTACAAAATAATAAGCATATGGAATTATTTCTATTTATGTCAAGTTTAAATTGTCGCCTATAACACTGCAAATTGTTTCCATGGGCAAGTTTTAAACCATGGCAATAAATCTTAGCATTATATTTCGTTCTCGTCACTATTTTTCCTTCTTATGCTAACTATTTTTGAAGTTTTGACAATGACGCTTGTGTCGAATACTATAAAGAGCTGTGTTGGCGAGAAAATTTATATCAATTCACATTCTATCATTGATAATCGTCGTCCATTTTTATTGTTGTTGTGAATATTTAGCTAGCTTCATTATTTGTTAGTAGGTTTTTTAATGTTCTTAAATTGAATATGTTGTCTATTCACTTTCGAAACAAAATCAAAGTTTTCAGAAGTGGAATCCATTTTTGTTTGATTTTAACTCTGAAATCTACATATCATTTGAACTTATTTCTTACGCAACTATTGATGGATTATCCATAAACAACTTACAAAAGAGCTTCGATCAATAAGGTATGATTTAGTATAGTGGAACAGACACTTTAGAGAATATGATCAACAATGGCTGCATTATTATTTGAAAACAATAATTCGAGAAATATTTTCGTAGCTTTATGAATTTTATTGCATAGTTCAAGATAAATAATTTCATATTGTTTATTGTTAAACAAGTTTTCAATAGAACACATGTGAACGAAATGATAAATGGTGATTGAAAAGTCTGATGCAGCAATTTAATTTCTTGGAAATATGTCAAAACCGTTAGTTTATTATATAATTTGAGCTTCCAGCGCAATTAAAAAGCTAGAATTTCGAAGTGAAAATTCACAATCAAAATCAACAAATTCATGCTGCATCTTTTTCCTGATAATCTAATTTTTGCACTAGCACACGATCTTGATTACTATGATATACATGATATGTGAAATCTTACTCTAATTTGAAGAGCCTAATTTTTATTATATACATAAATGTACATACAATTAATCTTTTTATATGATTCTTCAAATAACAATGAAAGCTCCAAAAGATCTAAGCTACTTTCGCATCTACAAATTCATGAATATATTAATATATTAAGAAAATCACAGACCTAACCAAAAAAGAAATTAAACCATTCAAGGCATCTATAGACATTTTCAGAAAAAGAAAGAAAAGTGATTATAATCATCATTATCGCTACTTTCTATGCAGAAACATATTAGCTTAAATAATCGTTTCAATGATTATGCAATAAAAATTACTCTTTCAAATGCTGTGAGAAGCATTGACACAATAAGAAAAGTGATTATCGTTTTTTGAATAAGTCAAGTGATTAAAGCCGTACAAATAGTACATGCACACCCTTATGAATCAGATTTTCGTCAACGGTTTGGCGAGAGTTTTGTGAACTTTCACCAACTGTTGCAGAACAGTATGAATGTCATATATATATGTAAAAATTATATGTCCAGTGTTATGAAAATGTATCTTGATACTAACACTCAGAGTATGTTGAAATATGAACTTGACTCTGAACCATCATTTTTGTTCTTATTTCTATCGATATTTTCAAATTAATTTACTAATAAATGTTTTTGTGGATGTCGAAGTTGATACTGTTTGATCAGTGACTGGACTTTTCATTGTGAAAAAAATGTTGCAATATCCTTTTTCGTGTGAGTGGTATCGAAGAAAACATTTACACTAACATTCACACTTTTATCAAAATAGTCAAGAATAAAGAAAGATCAACGAAATCTCTAATAACATTTATATTTAGAAGCATTCGCATGATTATTTCACAGACTAATTGTAATGTATTTAGTTTCAAAATACAACAACTTGAAAATTAGGATTGAAGAAACGTAAACAGTTATCGCGCA